AGAGAGAGAGAGAGAGAGAGAGAGAGAGAGAGAGAGAGAGAGAGAGAGAGAGAGAGAGAGAGAGAGAGAGCATCAGGAAACAGAGGTGTAGGTAGACTCATCCTTCCCGCTGTAGTCAGTCCGTGGTCATTGTACTTTTGTTGCTGTACAGCCATCCTGTTCAGCTACCTTCTTCCCCCAAATACAACGTGCGGTCATTATAGCTGTATCTAGACTGAAAGGTACCCCAAATACAGCTATAATGACCGTACGTTGTATTCGGCGGAAGAAGGTAGTGTTCAGTTTCACTCTCTTTGCAGGTTTGCACTGGGTACTCTTGTGTTACTCCGTTCTTTTGTCCTACCACTGGTACATACACTTTTCCAAAATCCATTGTTCACATGCGTGAACTGGGAAATTTTCAACGCCCGTTTCCTTCATGGACGACTTTCATACATGAAGTCTCCTGACTTCTATCTTTCCTCCCTCTCCTGTGGGTGTTTCTTTTTTCTTGTTTATAGGACTGTAATCCTCCAGCTTCAAAGACGGGCGATGCTGCCGGCTCTCTTTTTCATTTTCAGCCGTGCTGGATGTGACAGAGCTCTGACCAAAGTTCTCAAGGTAAGGTAATGTTTTCTATTTTCCGGAAATTTCCCCGTTGTTTCTGTGTTCTTTTTGAACTCTTTCGCTATTCGCATAGAGTCAAAGAGTCTTGTTTTCAATTTCTGAATTGACGTGCTATACACTCATAGAGTCCTAGATTAAAAGATGCCCACCAATAGATCGGAGCAACCAGAAAGGCTGCTAGGCGGGCTTCTGCTCATATCACCTCTCCTAACAGCCGGACTGGCTTTGGAAAAAAGAAAAAAAAAAAGATTAAAATTTAAAAGATCCGAAACTGATTTCCGTCGGATGATTGTCACGTATCTAACCTTTCATAGTTCCCATAATGTCATCATTAGCAGGTGCGGGAACCAACATCTCCATGTTTGTTTCTCACTTAGTTATGAGCTGGAGGGGGGAGGGGAGGATGCTTATACCACCTCCACTAGTAGCTCGACGACACTGGTTCTCCTTTTTTTTTTTTTTTTTTTTCAAAAATAAATTGAGCTGCTGCTCTGTGGGCCCCCCTGAATTTGTCAGCCCATGCCACTCCTGATTGACTTTAGTCCCTTTTTTTTTTCCCCAACAACAATGCTCCAATCTATTCGTGGGGAGCAGCGCGTGCTGGGAACCGGGCCCAGCGTCCCTTTTGAAAAAAATATTGAATACAGAAAAGGACTGGGACCATTACTGACTTTGACTCTTGCTGAGTGTTATTAAGTTTTCTGTTGTGGAATTATGATTACTATGATACTATCTACAGATTCTAAACTGCATTTCTGATTTTTGGGTTTTCATAAATCGAGATGTCAGGAAGTCAGGGTTACGTAGTCTCCTGCTGCTTGGGAAGTGGTTTCTAATTCACTATGGTTCCTCTGGCCCTGTTTTCTTGTAAGTCTTTCATGCTTGCCGGTGATACGTAACCGGGCTGGTGCCCCCCAGAATATAAAGGGGTTGTGTCTTTTTTTCAAAAAAAAAAAAAAAAAAAAAAAAAAACAAGGTTTGGAGTGTCACCTTTTTCTCTCTTGTCACACATCCAGAGAGAAAAGGAGAAAACCCAACATATCCTGTATGAGGGGGATTCTTCCACAAGGTGCTTATGAGTTCTAGTGTCTTCTTTTCCCTCTGGTCACACAGCCTGGATAGGGGAGATCCTTTTCTTCTTTATTCAGAGTTCCTCCTTTTTCCTAGCTAGCAGCCATCCAGGCATTCACTAGAACTGCCAAGTTCATGATCAACTGCTGCAAGCTCCTTTTTTTCAAAAAATAAAGGAAAAGAAAAGAAAGAGAAAAATGGGCCCAGTGCCCAGTGCCCAAGGCTTCGGAAAAGTTCTGATCATTTGGGGTCATTTGGGGTCATTTGGGGTCATTTGGGGTCATTTAGGGTCAAATTTGTTCTTGGTACTTCTTACATATTCCCAAGAGAGAGGGAGCATCGTCTTAACTGCCGGAAGGAGCGAATACTTCATTTACCTGTGAACCCTCTGCTTTGTGCTCCTGAATTGCTTGGCTTAGGGTCCATAATATTCTATATTCATGTGCTCTGGCACTGGTCCGAGAGTGTTGTCCGGGGGATTTTACAGCCTGTTGTTTAACTTTTTTTATAATTTGGTAGCCTTCCTTTAGGACCTTTACTGAATAACTGTGAATATTCTCGGACGGGTGTTAGCTTTCTCGCTTTGGCTTCTTCTCCCTTTTTCTGTACCGTCTGCATTCGGCCAGGTCACTGCTAGCTCACGTATTGTTCTCTCCTCCCTCCCCCCCACCACATTTCTCATTTGGACCATTTCACGATTTATGCGCGTCATCCTTGAGTGCACAAGGGTCATGCTAATCTTCTCTATATTTAATATTTATTGTTCCAATTTCAACGGATGTGCCGAACGACAGCTCGTATATTTCCCTATTTGGTCTAAGTCTTTTTTCTGCCCTTGCCGTAACCCTCCTCATCCTGTTTATGCAGAATTCAAGGTTTATTACTAGGCTACCAGCCGGGCCTCCCGGGTCCCGGGTGGCCAGCCAGTGCAAGGACCAAGGAAACTCCCAGCAAAAAAAAAAAAAAAAAAAAAATCCAAAAAAGAATTGTGTTATGCAGAAAAATAAACTGAACAACTTTTGCCTCTGGGTTACATGGAAATTCGTCACCAAATTTAAAATAAAAAATAAAATTTTAGAATAGTACTTTATTTTTATATTTTTTTAATTTGTTTGGCCCAGCGGGGCAAGTGACCCCAGGCCACTCTGGTAGCCTAGAAAAAATACCAAATTTAAAATAAAAAATAAAATTTTAGAATAGTATTTTATTTTTATATTTTTTTAATTTGTTTGGCCCGGCCGGGCAAGTGACCCCGGGCCACTCTGGTAGCCTAGGTTTATTAATAATATCAATGGTTCTTTCAACTTCTTTGTTTTTGGGTGGGAGGGAAGGTCCCAATTGCATTATTTCTTAGGAGTTGAAGTCTGCCTCTGTCCTGTCCTGTCCTGTCCTGTCCAGTGCACCTCAGAAAGTGGAGTGTTAAAGTTGGGGTCTCCTGTTTGCCATGCTGCTACTTCTTTTTGTAGTAAAGCTTTGCACTTCAACAGAATGCTTTCCCAAATTTAACATGTCCTTTTTCCATTCTAAGTTCTCTTCTAATCTGTGACAATCCTTCAAATGGGTTGCCGCTATCGAGCCCTCGGCCACAGCGAGCAAAATCTGCAACAGAAAAAGGAAAACCTAGACTGCAGAAACAGGACACCGCTGGGACACCTTGGGCCCAGCGGGGTGTTATGAACCTGTTTGTTTGTTGTTAGAAGACCAACACTCGCTCACATAGACTTCCAGGTATGCCCATACATACACAGAAGGAAGGGGAGAGGATGGGAGTATCACACCGCACAGGGGGAGATAGAGACAGCGGGGAAGACTTGACCATGCGATATGACAGAGAACACTGAAAGTGCACCTCACTCCACAGAATCCTCACAACCAGTCACAAAGGAAAGCCGAGTAGATCACATCCAAGAAACAATGAAGCAAAGATAGTCCCAACACAGTATCAACACTGTTTATTAAACTCAGAGTCTCGAAATGTCAGAATAACTATGGTGCGCTGCTCAGAAATGAGCAGCGCTTCACTCCCCAACCCTGAAGAAGCGCTAGAACTACCCCTGAGTCCCTGAAACATCAAGCGCCACCCAGATACTGCCTCCAGAGGGAACCGCCACCCTGAAACAGGCCTCTGAGGCCAAGCGCCACTCAGAGGATGAAGAAGAAGACCAGTGCCACAGTGTCTGATGATGATGAAGTGCCAAATGGCTTCCCGGGTGGAAGTCTGTAGCAGCGCCACCACTCCTGACAAAGATGATCTCTGAGGAAGACAGGCTGCAGCTATGGCTGCAGCGCTACACACCCTGACACCCTACTCCTGAGGAGGGTTCAGCAGGGCACCAACTTCTCTCACCTCCAGCAGACTTCAAATAGCCTGGACCTCTGAACAGCCCCGCATGCTGTCAGAGTACAGCGCCGGTCCCAGCTATGGCCGACACTCCAAAGGTCCAGCTATGGCTGTCTCCCTCAACGCTGAGACTGTCACCACCTCCAGTTCACGCGTTGTGCAGCAGCGATGTACACGGTACCAACTGCCAAAATCCCTGAACCGATGTCCTCCTTCTATCTATAACCTACACTAGCCTAGACACGACCTAGACCGGACTGACTGGACCGACCGGTACCGTTTCAGTTTCGGCCTCTCGGCCTCTACCTACCCGGCTATAGGCTATAGGACCGTCTATCAGCATAGGCCTTTAGGGCCTGTCTGTCCTACGGGTAGCCCGGGCCTGCTATCCGCAGTTAGGGTAGCTGTAGGTAATTTCAGTTAGTACAGGCCCATGTTTTCCCGAATTTACAGATATGTCCCTCAAGAGTTTCCCTACAGGTAGGTCTCTCGGTTAGCCCTCAGCCAAAAATAATTATGAATCTATCCTACCTATAGTACAGCCTCGAGGAGAGAGGCTACAGGCCACTGGAACCAGCAAGTCATTGCAGGGGAGCGTCTTCCGAGACCCGCTGCATGCTTTAGGACTTATATAGTAGAAAACAGGGATTTATGGTCCTGGCTCCTTTTCAATTCTAGGGAGCATCAATCTGGTTTCCTTTCCGCCAGGAAGTCAACAAACTACCACTTTACATGATAACGCTTCTCCTCGTCACGGCCACAGGACCCTTGCAGCAGAGTTTGCAACTGGTATTTTAAGGAATACCTGTACCTGACCTAACCACACCCTCTTTGAAAGCCAACCACCCATACCCACTGTATACCTGGCCTGCCAGACCTTTACCCATCTCCACCTGCTAAAAAAAAAAAAAAGTATACCCAGACCTACCCTACCCGAACCTCTTCAACATGTAACTGGCCATACCTACCCATGAACAAATTTTGTCAAAACCACCCATGGCCACCTGAACCCAAACCGTTTGTTAACGGCCCATACCCTACCCTACCCAATTTTTCTTTACCTGTACCCACCCGTACCTACCCATAATTGTATGCACCCACCCGTGCTCGTCACCCATCCTCCCCTAACCGCCCACAACCGCCCCTAATTGTCCCCAACTGCCCCTAACTGTCCCTAACTGTCCCTAACTGCCCCTAATTGTCCCTAACTGTCCCCAACCGCCCCTAACTGCCCCTAACTGTCCCTAACTGCCCCTAACTGTCCCTAACCGCCCCTAACTTTTTTTYTTTTTTTTTAACAGCCCCTAACGACCTTAGTTGTCCTTAGCTGCCCCCAACTGTCCCCAATCCCCTGGACTTTTTTTTAAGAGCCCCTGACGACCTTAGTTGTCCTTAACTGCCCCCAACTGTCCCCACCCCCCCTGGACGTCACAGGAATGACGTGGTAATTTTTATTATTATTAATATTATTATTTTAGTTTATTGTTTTCGAGATGTGGCAGCTGCTGCAGCCACTGCCACAACAGCAACAGTTACATTTGGTCCCTCTGATGCTGCCATGGACACATTTGGTGCTACAGCAGCCTATGCAACCTCTATAGCATCTGCAAATGCAACCACCCTTGGTCTGTCGCACACACGAACACTCTCAACCACACACACACGCACACACAACACCCCCCCACACACACCTAAATATTATATACACAGGGTTACACACATGAAAATAGTCTGAAATGCTGAGTACGGACGCCGCCCGGCCAGGCAGGGCCCGGGCAGGTCGCCCGGGCAAACCGGGCGGGCCAAAAAACAGCCCAGAATTTTTTAAAATTTTTTTTTGAGGGCGGGGTCGTGCTGTGCTTGGCGAGGGGACCCCGAATCTGCAATAAAATTTTAGTTTGGGTGTGGAGGGGGGCGGGTGG